TATGGACCCTACCAGCACTGAAATGCAGCGGAATGAGCAAATGCCTCTCAGCAGCAAAGCTCGACACGACCACATGAGTAACTCCTCATTTGTCAATTTATTACAAGTCATAACCCACTCCGTACAGTACATTAAGCCCATTACACTAAAACTGCCCAACACGCAATATTGTTTCCTCAAGATGCAATCATTTTGGTCACAGAATGGTGCTTGTCTATCTATTGTGAGCGCGCTGCGTTGTTACAGGCAGGAATGTGGGGGGCTCCTCTGCCCCGTACTGCCCCGACCATCGCTGTTATCAGTAGGACTGGAGACGAGCATTATTTCCCCTCTAATTCCCCGATAATGTCCGTCCTGCCGCATGGATGGCTCTCAAAGGCAACCCCAGAGCCCCTCACACCAGCAGAGGGTCTTTGTGTCCATGGGGAGATATACCATGTGCGTGTTTGTTCGAGCCCGGAGAGGCCAGAGGATGAGTTACACGTCTGCTTTGTCCCAGAGCACAGTCCCCTTTCCCAGCTTTTATGTACACAGACTGCTTGCTTTTTAGCTCTTTTCTCTTCGCTTTTAAAGCCCATTTCATTGACTTGCCGCTGCTTTTAAGAAGTCTCAGCTTTTGGAGGCAACGGCGGGCTACGGCAGGCACATCCTCTAATCTCCTTCACTTAGTTACCCGTGTCTGGTAAAGTGTTGCATCTCAAACTTTTGCCCGTTCCTCTTGCGACAGATTTTACTGGAAAATATAGACACGGTCCACATCTGCTAATTAGTTTATTTAATCTGTCAGATCTGGCATAAATGCGTTTTTCCTGCTGGATGTGAAAAACTGTGCTATAGATATACCAATTAAGGGACATTAAAACAGTAAGAGCATGGACAGGGGGAAAAATATTGTCATTATATTTAATAAAGTTTCAATTTCGGGGGATAAAAACTCAGAGCAGTGGGTGTTTGTGTTAGCTGGTGTGAACAACTCTGTGAGACAGAACGGCTAGAGGGCTGACAGTAAGCAAACTAGACCCAGTGGACAGGGTGACCACTCAGGTGGCAAATCTGGAGCTTGACATGAATCCTGTTCCTGTGAGTGTGTGTGTGTGTGTGTGTGTGTGTGTGTGTGTGTGTATGTGTGTGGGTCTGGGTCTCCATGCCCAAGGGCATTAGTGAGTCTCTCTGCACTGTATATCGTATAGTCAGTGCTCATATTAGCAGATACACAATGTGCATGTCTGTGTTTATTCGAGAGGAGAAGAGACAGAGGACCACATGCGTCTCTACAACACATCGTCAGTTGGTCTTTATGGCTCAGGACCTCCTAAGATAAGCCCCCCCCGGGCTGTGAAATTGCTCCTTCAAGAGAAAGTGACATTAATATGCACTTGTCCCTCCCCACGCTGATCCTTGAGCCTCGCTGCTCTTTTTTTTCGTAAGACAAGCCGAGCCATCATGAAAGGCCGTGCCACAGATGAAATGTTCCAGCCATTGACTGGGGCATAGCCTGCAGAGCAAAGCTTTTAGCCTGTCTCGCCCGTGTGTGAGGAAGAGGACTGCTCCACAGTGTAAGAGCAGCGTGAAGTCATTCATCAAAATCGCGGATAGCACAATCTTTTGTATAATCCTAAATAGCTTTACCAGCTTGAAGGGACTGAAAGACTTGATACTGGGAGTAGTCGAGGTCTTTAACTGATTGGTGAGCAACTTAAAGCCCTTCAACATTTGCTTTTCAAACCTCCGACATTTTGTGGCAACTATAAACACCCTCTCTGCCCCGGAGAGTGTTTTTGTTGTTGTGGCTTCACATGAATTTTTGACATGATTTATGTACATGGTTTGGTATTTGAAAGCTTCCCTCACATTTTTTCTGCAGAAACATACTTTTTCTCTGTCCTCACTTAAAACGTAAGATTAATAACTTTAATGTTGTGGCATGACACAGTTGGGAAGGTAGATTTGGTTCAGAGCACAGATTAAAAAAAGAGGTAGGAAATATGATACATTTGGGGTCTAAATGGTCTTAAGGCTTCAGTATTAGCGCACATTCTCCTCTATGGACGCCTAACATTTCACATTTCCTGTTTCACATCCCCACTTAGAGGAGCAAAGACACAGGGAGACATGTCAAGTCATAATTTTAGAATGATAAACATCCTCGGTCATTATTTTTAATGAGTTTATCCCTCCAAGACACAGCTGATCTATTTAATAAGGACAGCGACTGTGGCATTTTCAGAATTTATTGACAGTGGCAGCATATACATCATCTTTTTCAACCGGTTTCAAAAGAGCAATAAAAGCTCAAACACAAGGACCCATGAAGGACCCCATCATTCTCTGAAAGATTGGGCAAATACATTTTCCAGACCTTTGAAGTCACTGGATGACTCAGAAGTTGCAGTGGCTCTTTCTTCCGTCACGTGCCAGATTTAATTAAACTAATCTACAGATGAAAGGGATTCAAATCATATCATGCGAATCAAGTTTTGAAAATGCACATTTAGTGAAGCTGTCAAGTAGCTGGTTCATGTTTTTATGGTGTATTAAGTGGAAATTAATCTCAAGTCACCTCAAAGGGAGAAATTAAATACCAAGATTATGCTTCAAATAGACAGCCATTGACCTCCTCGGTTTCATTACGATAATAGAATAAACCTTTTTTTTCCTATAATTATTATAGTGTGTTTTTTAGATCAAGTTCGAAAATGATGTAAGACAGAAACATTTCTCAATTTTAAACTTGAGTATGTTACAATATGGTGTCTTTAGATGTACCAAATGGTTTGCAAATGACTGAATGCTGTACAATTTGCATTTTATGCAGCTTGTTTCTACTACGGGGGCTGTAAAAGATAAACCTCTTTCACATAAATGCCCTCGAAAAAGTCATTACACCGATAATTTGTGCTGCAGAATCAATTTTCCATTACCAGCCAGACCTCAACAGATGTTGACAGTCAAAATTAAGTCATTTTCTTCCATTTCAGGAGCAATAACCAGCTGGTCACCTTCCTAACCAAATACAGAAATATGAACTTCATTAAGTCCCATGGCAGGGACAATGCAAGGTAAGACCCACAAATTTTTCCTTCAACGCCTTCTCACTGTCCAGCCCCATCTGTGTTTCTCTCATACACCCACTCCACACCTACAGTTTGTGCACACACTTCTGCCAGCACGGCGTGGTCAATGAATCATAATACAATTAGCTCCCATCTGTGGCTTCATTAATTAACCTTCTTGGTGGGGGGGGGGGGGGGGGGGGGGGGGCGGCCGGTGCCAGAGCCCCGGTAGATGCTGACACCACCCTGCTTTCTGCACCGCCGCACCCCCGCCGGCAAACCTGTCACCGCGCAGCAGCGTGGACAGAGACACCGCCACGCAGGGGGAAAACATTGTCCTGCATGGATGGATGAGTCAATGTGACTCAGCAGCACCTTTGTGTGTTTGCAGTCACGGTATTCTAAACGGCTCTGTTCAGATGAGAGCGGATCTACTGCGCACCCCTCGTTAATGCAAAACAATGCTAATGCACAAGTAAATGCATATGTTTGGACAAAAGAGATTTAGGCAGATGCTTGAACAAAGACTGAGAACCTTTGTTCATATCACCAAAACTAATCCGTAATCCAATGAGGCTAAATAGCTGTCGTGTTTCTGAACACATGCACTTGATTAATTGATCGTTAAAGTTTGAGCAGCTTTCAATCTGATGTTTGTTTGTTTAGTTTTTTTCAGTTTTTCTGATCTGGAGGATTTACCTGTGTGTTAGCTCTATGCCAAGGATGATGATTTAAGAGAAGCAATTGTTGCTGTTCATCATTCTGGGAAGGCCAACATGGCCATTTCTATAATACTTTGACCCCATATTTCTATAATAAAACGTGTAAAACATTCAAGCATGTTCACCGCCACGATCAAACTATGCTCTGCTCTGAAAAAGTGCAAAAGTGGAAAAAAAAGCAGAAAAGACCAAAGTGGAAACGTTTGTTCCTAATTTATAGTAACATGTTTTGAAGAAAGCAAACATGGCATATCAGCTCAACCACCAACTGTTAGGCACGGTGTTGGAGAGCTGATGATATGGGCTTGCTCTATAGTAATGGGACCTGTTTACCTTGCCGTCATTGGGTCCACCATAAAGCCCACTGGGTACCAAAGCATTCTACATTCAACTGTGAGGTCATGTGTTGGATGAAACTGGTTCACAAATAGGACGATGATTCCAAACACAGCAGCAAATGTACAACGGGATGTCTGAAAAATCACCCTGATTGAAATTGTGACGGGATCTTAAAAGAGCTGTGTGGGAATTCATTCCAGCAAAATTCAATGAGCTGAGGAAACATTACAAAAAAGTAGAGAGAGAGAGAGAGCGAGAAAGCGAGGGCTAAACATCATGCAGGAAACAACAACTTCACGTCATTAGCTGCTAAAGATGTCCCTGCAAGCTGTTGTGGTACCACTCCACTTTTGTGTTTGGGCTGTTTTTTTTTGTTAAATACATAACGACACGCTGCACTGCATCATGTGTCCCTGCTACATCCCGAGCTGTATTTCCTTCACTTCAGGATGTGGTAAAGACTTAATGATTTTTTAATCGTCTCTGAGCTGCAAAGCCCTCCAACTGAACAACACGACGCACTTTTTTTTTTTTTTGCACGCCCGTGTGCCTGCTCGCGTGTCTGTGATCCACAAATTGTGTCACCAGTCTTATTCTGAGAGCTGAGGGGAACAACCTGACCCTGCTGACCTTAATTTGACTCCCTCCAACCTAACACTCGATCCGTTGACAGGAGTAACACCACCCATTGTGAATGCTGGGTGTCGTGTAGTAGTCTACTGATGCAGCACCAGGGTTTTCTATGAATTCATTTGATAACTCATGTGTGAAACTTTACCAAAAATATCCTTATAACATGGAGATATTCACTGTTATTTACTGTAAATACACTCCTCCTGTGATAAGCAAATATGTAAAACATCTGTTTACAAGAAGAGAAAAATACATGAAAACACAAATTAGCTGCTGATTATTTAGAGCTAAAAGTTTTTTTTTAAAAAGGCAAAGCTTCACATTCACGGTCACTTTTGGGTGACATTTGTGCTCATTAATCGCTCATAGAAGAGCATTAAAAAAATCACACGTTGAGCGAAAGGGTCAAATGCGTCAGGAGGATTACAGAGCAGGTCTGATGTTCACAGCTAATACCTCAAGTCTCGCTTTAATTAAAACCAGACTCCGTTGGTCGGTGCCTGTCTTCATTAGGTTCATCCGTAAGCAGGGTCTGGATCGGCTTTTTTACGAGTGTGACACCCACATGTGGAGGCTGGGCGACCGGAAAATCCCCGAAGGCATCTCAGTGGACGGCGGATCCGACTGGTTCCTGCTCAATCGCATGTTTGTTGAATATGTGATCAACTCCAAGGATGACCTGGTTACCAACATGAACCGCTTTTACGCTTACACTCTGCTGCCTGCTGAGGTAAAACACACACACACACACACACACACACACACACACACACACACACACACACACAAAGGCCTCCTTACGCTCCAAAAGACAAGCACTGCTTTGTACTTACCTTGAATCATTTATAGAACCTGTATACCCTGTTTCCTGTTTTTGCTTTTGGGACAGATGAAAAATCATACAGTGAGGGGAAGATTTAAGAGGCTCACTTCACAACCACACACAGAAGCTTTATGAAAACTGAAATCTCTCTCAGGGCTGAATGTTTATCATGAGCTGTTGTGACTCTTACTTTCTCAGCTCCCATTGTTTTTCCTTTTCTGAATTGGATCATGGAGAAAAAAAATGTCCAAATTTTCTCTCTCTGCTTTTCTCGCTGCCCAACTCTTTCTTTTTTTTATTTTCTCTTTTCCCAGTCGTTCTTCCACACTGTGCTAGAGAACAGCGCCCACTGTGAGAGCATGGTGGACAACAACCTGCGCATCACAAACTGGAACCGCAAACTAGGGTGTAAGTGTCAGTACAAGCACATCGTGGACTGGTGCGGATGCTCTCCTAATGACTTCAAGCCGGCAGACTTCCACCGCTTCCAGGTAAAGACAACAAACAACCTGCAGCACGGTCACAATTTCACACAGACCAAGCCTGCTGCCGGGCCTCCTATAATCAGTCCAATGGATGTTTTATGCTGCAACTTCTTTGTGTGACATGATAGATATTAATGAGTGTTTTCTAAGCTGTTTATTACTTTTTTAATTACAAAATAATTTAAAGATATCCTAATATTATGATGCAAAAATACTAGAAGATATAGGCGTAACCTTTAAAAGCCAGTAAAATGTGATGACTTTCCTTTTGGGAAAAGCAAGTTTTCTGTATGTGTATTATAGTGTTGTAATTTTGATAGGCTTAGATAAAAACTGACAGATTTATCCAGCTCACAAGGGGAAAAAAAAGAAAAAAGTTATAAATGTAAATATAAAAGAGGGTAGGACTGATTTACAACAAAAAGAAAAAGCCAACGCTTCTTCTTGATAACCACATGACATTTAAAAGTGAATTTATTTTATTTTTCTCAACATCACTTTACAGCTCTTTTGTTTCACCACTATTATACCTTAGGAGCGTGCTCAAAATAATGTAATGGAAAGAAAAAACAAAAGGACCACTGAACTAAGAACTTTCCGAGATGTTAATCAGACCCACCAAAAAACCTATGAAGCAAGTCAGAATGTGTCACTGTCATGTTTGTGGCACATACACTCAATACGTTGTGGGAAATCAGCAGCCAGCCTCCAAACTCTCTGCCCCGGAGAACTGTCCTTTCAACCTCAGCATCCAGTGTGTTCCCACAGCTCTCACAGTCAATATGTGCAAAATTATGTCTCGATTAGTTTGACCCTGAGACGGGTTTTTGAAAAAAAGCAGCAGTGGTAATTAGGTCCTATTTGTACAGAGTATGTGGCTTTAGTTGGGTTTTTAAAATGGAGGGGAATGAGTAAATATGTCTCCTCCTTTGACTTTTATTGTGCCCCTGAAAAGTAAAAGTAGCTCTCCAAAGGGACTCCAGATATTCAGCTTAAGCCTTACATCACCTTTCCTCTAAACCCTCATCCTTTGAGTTCTGATCTTCACGTACCCGCCATCCACTGACCTCAGTCCTCTCTGTGCCAAACCGCCTGTCTCACCTCAGTCTCTGGCAGCTCAGTGCCAACCCATTACCCAAAGGTCCTTGGCATGGCTGTTTAGTCTGGTTGGAACCGTGTTGGTATCAGCGAAGTCCGACCCCTGGAACAAAACAGCCTTTATAGAAGCCTGAAAAGGTCCTAGTATGAGCCGAGCATAATATGCCATTGAGGGATCTCTTTGAGCCTCAGCAGGGAATTGTACAAACAAGTAAAGGCCTGAGATGCAATTAAAGACAATATTTGTAGAAGCAGCTGTAAAGTTTCCCCCCCTGAGTTATTTTGAGGTGTACTCAGTGGAGGACAGAGGCAGAATGATGAGCCTTTTGGCTCCTTTTCAGGTACCTGCGGAGGTTCTGTTTTTTTTTTTAGATCTGCCACCTCTAGGCTATCAGAGGGACTTAATGCATGCTGTAAGGTGTGAAGCCACACTTGCTGCTGCTTGAGAAAAACTGAAGTCTCAGAAATGTGCTGCCCCATGATTGGCTCTTACCTTTTTCTTTCATTTTTGTTACCCAAGTAGCAGGTAACACTGATGTGTCTGGTACAAGATGACCGTTGATTAATAGCTTGGTGTTTGCTGCTGAAAAGATGTCTTTGTGTGTCAGCCAAGGCTTTGGGTGGCAGATCTCACCAGGTAGCATCAACCGCATAAGAAGCAACACAGCAGGGATAAAAAAGTTGAAAAAGATTTTGAAGGGGACGAGGGGAAGGGGGGTGGTAGACAGAGTAACAAAAATAAGCGAAGCTGCGAAGACAGGAAATGATGATTGGACAAATGAGTCACCGAAAGTGAAAAGTCTGTGAAATCACCCTGCCACCGCTTCCAAGTATGTGTTGATGCTTATTAGGCAGAGTTTTTGCCTCCTTCTTACCTTTCCAAGTCAAATACCCTTGGCCGCTAATATTGACTGGAGTTCCTGTAATGAAGCTGTCTGACATTGATGCCCTGAATGAATTTCAACTCCTGGGATGGACCCAAAATCCTTTCATCAATACCCGTTGCATCACGATGTGATTAACCTTTTTAAGACCTCCCTCTCCGGGGGTGTTGGGGGATGTGCTGGAGCAAGTCGGATCCACCGAGGCTCAACTTCACAAGTTCCGGGACTTAAAGGATCTGTGGCCAGTCTTGGTGTCAGACACCACGGTGGATCGGTATCACGATCCCCGTCCAATGTAACATTGGTTCCATTTTCAAAAGAGCCTCTCGCTGGGGGAAAGCTGCTGTGAACTGTTAATGGAAATGGTGCATTGTTGGGAATGCGGGCCCATTTCGAATACCTGATGCAAGACTAATGGTGGAATATTTTAAAAATCTAACACAACCCCGCCAGCTTATCTCTTTCCCCTTGTGGGTGTTCTGACCCGGTGGTTGGGAAGCACTAATGTACAACACTTACTTTGTGCTGCGAAAGAAAAAGAAAAGGGAGGCTGAGGAGAGGCTGATTTTCAATTTAATACATATTCTAATCCGCTCACAAATCTCAAAGGAAAATTATTCCCTTTTAGTTATCTGCTAACTTCAACCGCCCCTACTCTACCTCTTATCTGCAATTTGTTTCTCTTCTCTGCCCACATATCACTTCCACTCGCATCTCACACATCACATTTGTTCCATCCTGGCACACCACCGTCTTTTAATCCTCTCCCTTCTCTTCTCTTTATCTCGTCCGCCCCTGCTTTGTTCCTCCGATCCCCCCCCCCCCCCCCCCGCTCTGCAGCAAACGGTGCGGCCCACCTTCTTTGCCAGGAAGTTCGAGGCCAGCGTGAATCAGGAGATAGTCAACCAGCTGGACGCCTACCTGTTCGGGCCGTTCCCCCACGGGACGCCGGCGCTCAGCTCGTACTGGGAGAACGTCTACGACGAGCCCGATGGCGCCGCCAGCCTGTCGGACACGCAGCTCACGTACTATCACTCCTTCTCCCGGCTGGGCCTGGCCAGGGCCGCCGCCTCGCTGCAGGGGAACCCAAAGGACCACAGCTGCAGGTGAGTTCTGCGGAGGGCCGGTGTGCACGCCAAGGGGAACTTTATTTATTTAATCAGGACAGTGCACATTAATGAACAATCTCACACAGATTGTAAATGAGCTAGATTATAGCGTAGTTGCTAGTTTACATCTGTCGTCCTGAGGCAGGAAGACCAAACAACACAAAATCACAAAGTACAAAATCAGTCCAAACACACGTTCAGACAATGACATTACAAAATTGAAATTAATTCATTTCAATTCAATTTTAATTATATAGCGCCACGTCACAACAACAGTTGTCTCACAGCGCTTTCCAAAAAGAGCAGGTCAGACCCTACTCTGAAGTTAACTACAGAAACCCAACAATTCCCACCATGAGCAAGCACTAGGCGACACAGGCAAGGAAAAACTTCCTTTTAACAGGCAGAAACCTCGAGCAGAACCATGGCTCAGGGTGGGCGGCCATCTGCCTCGGCCGGTTGGGGGTGAGGGAAAGAGAGTGCAAGATAGAGAGAGAGAGGGCGAGAGAAGGACAGAGGACAGACACAGGCATAATCCCAATGCAAATGCAAACTGTTCTCATCTTTCACTCTGTATTCACACACACACATACACACATACACATCATTATTATTATTTGTATCGCACACCTGCTCCTACCGTTTGCTGTGTGTTCAGGTGCACTTCACTACCTTTTATTCTTTAAAACCAGCCTTGAGAATATTCACACAAGATACCACATAAAAGAGCTATTGTTTTCTCTCTCGTGGATATACTCATAAGATCGTATGTCATGGGAGTGGGGATGACAATGGCGCCTCCAATAACAAACTGGGAACTCTGGACAGTGCTTTTCAATTTGCTTTTCAATTTGTAGCATAATACGACACATTTGTCCCTGAGAAAACAAACCTATATAGGTCATAACATATAAAGCTAGCCTGTGGGCTAGACTATTATTAGTGGAAAATAATAAACTCCTAAGAGCTGTTCGCATACTGCATGTGGTTAAAAAGAAAAGGGAAAATCATCATTTGCTTTCGTATGAAGTGGGCATGTGGAACATTTCACTTTCATGTACTAAACTTTTAGTCTAAGCAGCATGTGTTTTAAGTATCCCTTTTGACAACCGTTGGCAACTTACCTCACAATACTAGATGAGAAGAGCACCTACGGTAGCGGTAACTGCTCATACTAAGGATCACATCTTGATGTTCACCTTAATGGCATCAACAAGCAATAAAATGCTTTTTCTCCCACCAGCCACAGAAAAATAAACTGATTGAAAAACAGCATGAAGGCAACTTGTTTTAACAGCACATGGAAACAAACCGTGTTCATTTGACTCGTAAGTTTTCTTTTTCCCTGGGAGTAATTCAAACTGCCAATTTACATTGCTCGGCTTGGAAAAGTTTGAGAGCTCATCACGCAGACTGAATGTGCGTGCTAGTATAAACAAGATCTAGACTGCGAAACAGAAGCAATCTCCCAAAGTTGAGAGTGCTTGGTTTGAGATGGTTTCCTCCTCGTAAGCAGGACATCCAGTGCCAGAACCCCCTCCGCCCTTCCCTCCTGCTGCATTGTGGGTGTTCCATAAAATCTTGCAGGTAAAAGCGAGCAATGAAATGAAGCCCAGTTTTATGGTTTCCATCTGTCAAACCCCAAAAACCATCCACCGGCTCCAGCTGTGTACAACAGAGAGCCGGAGCATCGAAAAGGCGCACAAAGCTTTCACTATAAGGAAACAGGTTGAAATGTGTGTGTGTTTGTGGAGCGAGTGGTGTGTGTGTATGTGTTAATGCTAGCAGCTCCATTTGTTACTGTATCCATGCATGTTTATCCATTCTGTTAAAGAAAATGCACAAACCCTGTGCTGTGGTGTTTTCAGATGTGAATTATAAATGAGATTAGTGGAGTTTTCATTGTGAAATAATGGATCTGGGTTCATTGTGCCAGTCTAACAGGAATGACCTCCAGATAAAAGATAAAATACAGAAAAGCAAAGGTCACTGTTGCACATTGAAACATGAATTCATTTTTTTTCTCGAGTATCTATTAGTAGCCTTGAGTAATCTGCTGCATTTTCAAAGGGAATGATGAAATTAGAGAAAATTTAACATGGAGCATTACCCAATAGAGGTCCAAGGTTCGAGCTTTTCATGCATCATGTTGTTGGCATGTTTTAGCCTTTTTTCTCTCTCTTAGTTTAATTGTGACTTGTCTTAGTTCATCCAAACAGAAAGACAGACATAAATATTTTTACTGCTTTATTCTTTGTATTCTTTTTATTGAACCATTGAGAAGCAGCATATGAATCGTTTAAGCTACAAGGAGTTGCACTATTGCACTCCGACATTACTAAGCTCAACAAAAAAGAAGAAATAAAAACTAATTGCATTGTGATTCTCTTAATTCAGCCACGCTCTGGTTTATTAGCGTAATAATTGAACACAAAATGTGTGCGGTGGGGCCGAGCAGGGCCTGCCTGGAGCCATGCTATTTATGTTTTATTCATTTGTAGTTTTACCGATCGGACCAAGTAATTAAAACTGATCAGGTTTTTACTTGAAGTGCACCGCACTTCAAAATGGATCACACACCAGTGCTTGTTTTATGTCTGAGGCCTGCTCACGTATGCCAAGTGTTTGCGTGTGGCCACATATTCTGCTTGCATGTAGAATTCAGATGCATAGCTAACGCAGGGATCAGCCTCCGTATGAGACAGTGGCAAAAGAGAGGAAAAGCACCCAGTGAGCAATTTGGCGCTTTTAGCAGCTCGCTGTGACTCAGTCAGAGATGCTGGGCAGTGAAAGCCTGAATAGAGCTTCTGTGCAGGTTACGATCCGGCCCCCCCCTTCTCACTGCCTTTCACTACGGCGGTCGCTTCTCTCTTTTAGGAAAGATGTGTCAGAAGAGATTGAAAGCCGAGAGCTGAGGACAGAAAGGAGGATGAAATAAAGGGGAAAGCGACAGGGAAAAGGCAAGTGGGAAATATAAAGCAGAGGAGAAACGGAGAGAAAGAGACAAAGAAAAGGAGAAAGGGGGTGGGGTGGGTTGCAATGCAATCCTACTGGGTGTAAATATTTGCTGTTCTGATAGTCTGGGTAGCATTTACCAGGACGGGCTGACTCCCCGGTCCTTTAGTGGAATACTGATGAGGCCATGGGCACATGGGAGCAGGCAGAAACACTGCGTTTGTGTCGAGCTCTGGCCAAAGGACGGGGAGTAAAGAGGAGCCGAGGAGGCAGAGGGATGAAAAATCTGAGCGAGAAGGAGTCAGGACGCGTGCAGACAGCAGCTGTGGCGTGTTTGCCAGCAGTGCCCACCCTTGCCCCTTTTTTGTTTTTCCAGAAGTCACTCCGGCTGACTGCCCTCGAGGGCCGACCCTCTGCCACATATGAGGCGGCACGCAAATAAACAACAAACTAATCAGAGGGGCGAGACTGTCATTCAGTCCGGGCGAACCGCATGACCCATTTAACTCTGTTTTTTTGAAAATTCATAATGTGCTCTTAGTGTCTGTGCGTGAGTGTGCGCTCGGAACAAAATCGGAATCGACTGCCAATCTGGCATGTGACCGCTCGCAAGTTAGCCGACCGCCGGGCTCCAGACTATCACGTGTCTCCCCTCGGCATCTTTGTCACTTTAGAACTCGAACTGAACTGAGGTGACTTGCCCCCTACTGTGAGAAGCAGGTTTGTTTAACTCAATTAAATTAATTACTCAAAGCTTCTTGAATTAAAAAATCTAATTAAAAACACTTAATTAAGTGGTCACCGGTCACCAGCTGAAGTTGCTGGTGTGCAAAGGAGTTCTGAGCCATGCTTTATTTCTGTATATTCTGTTTTAAAGCAGCCAGACTATTTCCAGTCCAATTCTTATACTGGATTTTTTTGTTTTTAACCAATTAATCTGACCCATGCATCATTCACACATTAAGAATAGTTACTCGCTCTTTAGGAAACACAAGTGTTATTTCTAAATATAAAGGTACATTGATTCTTCCTGTATCTTTCACAAAATAGTATCTTAGCACCAACAAAGAGCAGTTAAGACCGAGCGTCCAGAGTTCTGTCTCTGATGTAATGTGGTGTTAAAGCACAGACATTAAGAATTAAAAACCTCTGTGACCAAAGGGTTGGCATAGGAGCCCACAAGAAGCACTTCATGGGAATTATCTGCATTGTCGACACATGTCTTTGACCGATTGGATTACTGTTAAAGGTCATTGAATTAATGTCCTCCACCTCACACAGTTAGAGAACACATTGACTCTTCACTAACCTTTTACTGCTGGTGCGCATAAGCATTCGGCTGGATTTGCATAACCAAGGCCAGTTCTGGCCAGATGAAACCTGATATTCTTCTCCCGTTACAGTATCGGCCCCCGAACTGTGGAATAAACAGGCCAGTCGGTGTCATGTCCGCTAATAGATTCTCACTTTTTCTCAATGCTCCTCCAGGTATTTCCCTATCCCCATGGGCCACCCGGTGTCCGTGCACCTCTACTTCCACTTGGACCAGTTCCAGGGCTACCTGGTCAAGCACCATGCCACTAACCTGGCCACAAGCAAAATGGAGACCATGGAGACCTGGGTGGCACCCAAGAAGAACTTCAAGCTCACCGCCCCCCCCACCAGCACCTTCAGCAGGCTGCAGTTTGCAGAGGTGAGCGTCGCTTTTTATTCTTCATTTGCATTTCGGTCAACTGTTTGGCATCAGACACAAAACGATCGCCCAGCCTCTGCCAGCATCGGGAGAGAGAGTTGTATTAAAATTTTGAGCACCGTGCGGGAAAAATAAAACGCTACAGCGTATAATTAGAGGTGAGATATACAGCTCATTGCCATGGTGACCTCATATTCATTGCTATGGCGCCCTTGCCAAGACTTATAGCAGCACATCTCCACACAATTAAGCCGGTGCCTGTAATGGCCTTGTAAAATGTAAATTGACTGAATTCATCCAAGTTTATGGGGATGAGCGCATCGTGTGCTGCTTATTTGTTGTTTCCTAATAGAATGTCTTTTCACCTTCACACTGGAATGCCTCCCTTGATTGTCTTGTTATGTTAATCTGTGTTTCTGTTTACCACAATGCCACAATGTTTAGGACACAGCCACTCAGCTACGATGTGACAGTCACAGAGTGTCTTTTAAAAAGGACTGAATTAACCGAGCGAACGTAAATTGACCTTTTCCCCCGCGCCTTATCCGCCACGACGTCCCGCGAAAAAACAGAAATGTCAACAGATTTCTTTGCGACTTCGCGGGATCTGCGTGGAAATCGCTCGCACACCTGGGCGCACCTTCCCCCAGCTTCACCCCCCCCCCCCCAGCCATCTGAGGGAAAACACAAAGGGGATCCAGACACCGTGCGGCTCCCTTATTCCGAGCCTTGTTTGCATGTCTAGTCTATGAAACCATGAGTGACAGAGAAGTGATGTGAGCTTGGGCTTTTATCTGGATGCTCAGCCAGAGAAAGCGTTGGCTGTCTGGCACAGTGCAGTGGCTGTCAGTCAGCGTGTCCGTCTGTCATTCAAAACACCCGCAAAAAAAAGAGCTCAAATGAGACAGCGCACCACTGCTGCCCGAGCTTTGTGCTTTTGTCAACTTAGCTGATATCAGCCATATTGTTGAGGCCGTACACTGGAGTTTGCTAGATAAAACATATGGCTGGTTTAAAAACGTGTTCCCTGTTCCCTCTTTCAGATATAAAGAAAGACAGATATGTCTTTTCTTTTCACTCCCCCGTCGCTGCCTCCCAGCTGCCTTTATAGGCCTTTTACGGCATGATTTAGTAAAGGACCACTTAAAGCCCACACAGTTAAAATTAGTATTTCACCTCAAGTCGACTTGACATTGAGAGCTATATTATGCTCTGCTGTATAAATCTCTTACAGTAGACGAGCAACACTGACTTTGACTAACAGTTAAATCCTTCTTCTGCGACGCTTTGTGAATCCGATCAGATTTTACATGCACATGCTGTGCAGACAAGTATAAATAATGGAACCATTGAATTTTAAACTTGATTTTTTTCAGCTCTCACTCAAACCGAAAAAAATAAAATCATCAGCGATGAAGCCAAAATTAAAGAAAAGAAGACTGCCATCAATAGATCTTAAAACAAGAAAATGACAAATAACCGGTGGAAATGTAACAAGTTACTGGAGGTGTAGGCTCCAGCATCTGCTAACTTATCAGAGTTGATATTTTACCCCATAGCGATCCGGAATCCAAAGTCTTCTCTTTAAGCTTTTTTTGTCAGCCCAAATAGTTATGCAGCACCAAACATGAAGCAGTTAGTTTGAATTAATCCAACCATGGAAACTAAATAGCTTGTTCTATGTAAAAAGAAATGTAATCACCTATGCAAGAGAGCTCCTACGGGAAGCTAACAGAGCCAGCTGTGTGTTGTTGTCAAGAGTTTTTAATGCTTATTAAACTCAAGAAACATATAATCCAATTATTTTAATGATTTACACGTTTTCTTTAAACCGTGCATTTTCTTGCTAACAGCGACTGGTGGCTCTGTCCCACAGCTCTTTACACTGATAGGTGATAGGTGTGCTTATCATTTGAAATTAACTCTGCATATCTGTAAGATGCAATGTCCAGATGAATGTAAAAATAAGTCCACAGTTAGTTTAGAAGCCCTTACCTAACGGCCATATATAATGTTGCTCTGCCTTTACGCCAACCAGATGTTTCTATTATCACTATGTTTGTAACTTACATCCTGGAAATCTGAGAGCAAAGGTCTGTGCCCCCTGTTAAAACATTGTAATAAAAGGCTTGAGAAGAGCTGCGTGCTTTAAGACGACAGCCCCTCAGGCATACAGTAAGAAACGGAAATCTGTGGTATTCTTCTGCTCACCGTCCATCCCTTCCCCATTCATCATTCCACTGTGATTCTTTTTGGAGCATCCATCCATCTTACCCAGCTGTTTAAGGGGCGCCCCAGGGGAGTCTTTTGGTATTCCTGGTCAACACCTGTGTTTCATTACCCCCTCGAAGAAAGTGCTACTAATGAGCTTCCGAATGGACCCCCTCCGGGGCCGTTCGTGCCCTACAGCTTTAAACGGGGGCCAGATGTAGAGCGGGACTGTGCGTGTTCTTTTACTGATCAGGCTGACCTGCCCCGTTTAATGGAAGTGTCAGACTCCAGGCGCCGGCGAGCCAGTGACGTGGAGAAAAAAGGTTTGCAAGGTTGACAGGTCAGAGAGAAGAAATGTAATAGCTGGATTATGAGATGGGAGTGTTTTATGTTTTCTATTAGGTGAGGAACAGACTTTGATGAAAAAAGGAATGTAGGTAATAACATGAATGATGGGACTTATATGGAGAAAAGTAATAAAAGTGAAATATATAAAAATGTAAGCCATTATCAGATCAGGGGTTTCTCCTTCCAGGTCGACAGCAGAGGATAAAGGAGGGCGCCATTGTTTGTGAATTGCAATAGATGTAATTTACAGTTGTTTGAGTATGGAAAAATCTGAATAATAGGTTTAAGTGAGTGGAAATTGTGAGTATACAGGACCAGACCTGTAGAGGAATGGGGTAACAGTTAAAAATGCAGTTGCCAGATAAGTATTGGTTCCCACAAAATGTCTGCATCCCCATGAAAGCTTACAAGCAAAATAGGTTGGTGACTTGTCATTAGTCTTAAGATAAAGCTTGTTTAGTGGACTGATTATTGGTGGATGAAACTGAAAAGCAGGTAAAGGCTCCCGCTGACATGTGCCACAAGATAGACCCATTTAGCATCCTTCAATTTATAGTTTTTATATTTATTCTAACTTTTTTTCTGCAAATCTCATTACAGAATATAAAAATTATGTGATTAACTTGCAAAATTGTATTTTATATGGTCATCCAAATGTTTATCTCGTGTGAAAGCAGCAAACAGTACATGTTCCCGCTCAACAAAACTTCCATTAACAGTTGTCAAATGGCCCTCATGATTCCTTTTCACTTCACAGAAAAAGCAGAAGTTAGTAACTAAGAATAAACACAACATCTACCCGCATCTTTACGTGATTTCCTCTATTCCTCTTTCAGACTGCTAACATTTATAGTATGCCATACGTCTCAGTTTTTTTTAAGTGCATGCCTTATTTAGTTATTTATTGTTTTTTTGACACGTTTTCACTGAGGGGGGGAGCTGTGCCCCAGTTTTGCTGTGCTCGTGTATTCTGTAAAACAACGTGCAATGAAAAAGACTCCTATCTTATCTTAGATATGTAGAATATTCTGAATCTGCCCATTCAGGCTACAATTCATCTTACAGTCACTCAGAGCATCGCATAGCTGTGCTATAACTGCAGCGTCATCTGACAAACTCACAATCCAAGGAACTTGAAGACAATGTGCTCACAAAAGTACACATAAATGTACCCACTACGTGTACACAAACACAAACGACACAAAAAGGCCCCAGGCTGGGACTTTCTCGCCAACCACCACACCACCATGCACCCGAAAGGTTCTTTGTCTTCCAATTTTAAGAAAAAGTTGAGTCCTCCTGCTTAGTGCCCCCTGTTTAACCCTTTAAAGCCTGATCCAAGAGTAAAACAAAAAAGAAAATGACTATTTTTTTGTTTGAATTCTTTGTTTGGCCTTTTAACAAAATATGTAATAATATAATAAATATTATAAATATAATAATAATAATTTATTACTATGTGAAAAGTCAAGATTATGTTTTGTGTAGTCTTCTGCCCCCTGTTATCAGGTATATCTGATTGAGTACAATAGGATTTTGAGCAAAGTTTTTACCATTAAATTATGCAAAAGGTGTCAGATGCAAAACATTTCAGAAACCGTATGTATCAAATATGATACATTTGGCATTAGAGGGTTAAATCCAGATAGTGATTGAGCTTTGGTCACTTGGCAGACAGGCTGTCTGCATGTGCATCTTATTAAGTTGTTTATGCACAATATGTGTGCGTTTCGGATAGAGAGAAAAAAACATGTGTAGATATGGAGGAGAGGCTGCAGTTTCAGGCGCCTTGAAAAAGAGAAACTTTGGTTGGAGTGTAACTTCCTGTATGTTGCTCTGAGTCGAAGTTTGCTGCTGAATAGACTGGAACGCTCCAGAGGCAAGTCTCATGGGTTTTCCTCCTACTCGTGACACGCGAATATTGTCAGAATCGCTGTCTTACATCTCTGAATAGCAGCATGCAGGCTTTAAGTGAAATGCAGTGAGATTCCCGTCCCAGTACTCCCGGGCTTCAATTTGTGCTGTTGTGTGTGCTCACTTTGAATAATGTAACAAGAGAGTTAATAAGTCATTTAGATGGGATGTAAAAACAAGGCTGGAATAGCAGAGGTCATAGCAGTAATTTAGATGAAAGGAAGGTGCGTCACAGATGGCCAAGGATCAATCTTTTGCTGTCGGCCTCATTTATACGAGTAATTCCTATTTTTAGCGTACATTGAAGTCTGTGTTCTCAGAGGATCTCTTTCTGAGTCAGTTCCAGTCAGCCATTGATCCTCCACCAGGGTGAGGCGGCGTTAATCAGCTACCAATGTGAGGACGTACGCTTCCCAAAAACGCCATCCGGATCACATTTCTGGTGTACAATTTCACGAAGAGTTTTAACTCTTCTCTAACCATGAGTTGAAAATATGGTATTGGCACTGTAACCAGTGGCAAAAATCAATTGTTATATTAAATCCTAAAAACATTAGCTTAAAAGAGATTAACCTTTTATAGGGTCCTCAGGCTTTGTTCCGATGCTGTGTGGGCTGGCAACAAGTTCCATGTTCTACAGCTTGAGGCATTTCATGTCTCTCAGTTCAGTTCGAGTATATTTTACTCACTCCTATTGTCTGTTTCGTTTTTAAACTCAACTTTATTTTTCTCAGAATTGTCCCGGGTAATGCAGTATATCTCGATTCCTCGATGGAAGCGCTGAAAGCTTGTCTTTATGGAGCTGTCCAACCATGAATCCCATTTTTTTCCTGTCAAAAGGGATGCGATCGCTGTGTCTGAATGTACTTTTGCTACTGATGGAGAGCTGATTCCTTCTGCTTTGTGGAGACTGTTTAGGATATCTGTGTCCATCACTTTCTGCCACTGTCATCCCATAACTACAAAACGTGTAAATAGGTCAAACTGTTGGATTAAAACCAGCAGATCTGATACTCATTTGATGCTCCCAGACTCAGGCACTGGAGCAGCTCCAGAGAAATCAACTCAAATGTGCAAGTCAGAACAATCAGGCAGCCTCTTAATATTAAAACCGTCTATGTTTAATGGATGAGCTGGAGTGAACCTGTTAGACAGAGGATGCATTCTGAGCAGTACGGACACCGTAATGCTAAATACAATCGGGGAGTAACATTTTCTTGATCTGTGTGCTTTAGGTAAAATCGTAGCAGGGACTTTTTTCAGTTTCTAACCACGTAGCAGGTCCTGAGTGTCATGCTGTTTTTTCTCCCCCCCTCGCCTCTGGTCTCACCCCATTCTGTCACTCACCCCTCCTCCATCCCCTGCTCTTTCCATCTCAGATCGGCACCGAATGGGACGCCAAAGAACGCATCTTCCGAAACCTCGGCGGCCTGATGGGCCCCATGGACGAGACCATGGGCATGCAGAAGTGGAGCAAAGGGCCCAACGTCACCGTCACCGTGGTGTGGATCGACCCCACCAACGTGATCGCGGCCACCTACGACATCCTGATAGACGCCAGCGCCGAGTTCACCCACTACCGCCCGCCGCTCAACCAGCCCCTGAGGCCCGGCGTGTGGAGCGTCCGCGTCCTGCACCACTGGAGCCCCGTGGCCGAGATCCGCTTCCTGGTGGCCCCGCTGGCCTACAACAAGCGCCAGCCCATACGGCCAGGTGAGAGGAGCCCCTCCGTAATCGGCCGCTCGTTTTTTTTTTAGCTTTTTTGGGATAACACAAAATTGCTATTGATCGCGTCGAGAGCTCCTCAAGCAACGGATGGTCACTCAAGAAAATACGGAGTGTTTTTTCCAAAAGGCAAAACATCGCTCTGCAAATCTGGTGGAATGGAAGCCCCGCATTGATTTTGTAGATAGCGCCGAATTGTAATTCAATTTGAGCCCGCACAGTTTGTTAGTCTTAAATAGATTTTTGTTGACACTGTGTCATTGTGGATAATAATTTGAGGGGGTTGCGTTTTTTTTCTGACTATGGAGTGTTATTATACAGAGCCAGAGGTGTAAAATAATCCACTCAAGTGCAATTTTCAGTCACTACCAAACTTATGCATGGTTAGGTTTTTTTCCTTTGTTTTTCAAAGGGTTTTTATGAACAATGAGACACATTAACTGAAGCTCCAAAGTGTATGTAAGGTAGGGAAAGCTATTCTAGATGAGGCCCTGATTTTACCTTCATACTTGTCTCATAGAACCAGAATTGAACTGGTTTAATCCCTCAAATATGGAATTTTTATTTATTTTTTTCAAACAAATAACTTACCTTTAAACGTGGAGGCGCAGTAATGTTTTACTAATTCAGCTGAAAGGCACAAACAAAAAAGAGGATTTGAGGAGAAGATTCACACAAAAAGTTGAAACAGTGTCAGAGGAAGGCTCGTCATGTTTATCCTGCTTCAGGCCGGAATTCTAGACAAAAGAGATAGCAGCTCAAAAGAGTAGGAACAAAATCTAACAGCAAGCTATATCAGTTAATAAGGCGAGATTTCTTTGTTTAGGATTCTTTTTGTTCTATTTAAGCATAATCTGCAAGGAGCATGGCATTAAATGAAATTCAGATTTAAAACCATGGATTAGACATATATTTTGTAAGTCTCTTTGGATAAAATCGTCTGCTAAATGCATAAACAGAAACATCTTACAGTGATGGCATGAATACTGCACCCTTTTACTAACATAACAGCCAACAGGTTGCTTTTTAGACCTTAATTAGCTGAAAAGCTTCAGGGCTTTAAGGAGATGCTTCATCTGACCCTCTCTTGCAGCCACACTCACTACAGTCGGAACTCCGGTTTTTTGCTTTATATTCCACACCGGTCTCATGTTTTTATAAATTATTCACCCGCTGTGCTGAGATGATAATAAAGTGTCATCTTCTAAATCCCAACCTGTTCCCACAGGACTGTGAAGGTCTTACTGATAGAAATTGCTTATTACATTTGGTATTGTACTTCCCACTGACACAACCGGTGGGCCACAGAGTGATGCTGAATTCATTGTCGACTGCAGATTTAGGTGTTTCAAAATATCTGCAGACACACAAACACACACGCACAGACACACACAGTCCTTGCAGCGTTGCATTTGCAGCAATGCTCTCTTTAATCAAGCCTCTGGGCCTCTGCAGACCCTGCTTATTTGTCATCAAGTCACCCCTAATAAACTGGGCGAGCAGCTCATACATACTAAACAGAGTGTTAAACAACAGCGCACTTAGCCCTCCAAAAACAATGACACAATTAAATCAATCAGTCAGCATGGATGAGGGGCAAGACTGCAGCATTCTGCTCCAGGCGCAGCTAGTTTGCTTTGAGAGACACCCGAGAGCTTCGGCTCATCAGCATCACATCAACCCTCGGTTTAATCATCTCCCTAAGCTATTTTATTGATTAAGAGAAACAGCAAATAAAGTTACGGCGTTGTCTCTAACCTGAGTCCCAGTGGTGCCGCTGTGAGTCAGCACAAGTTTCATCTCAATCACTGCGTTACTGGTGTTAAATGTGCTCTAGTGAAAGCCTTCCTTTCACTTTTTGTTATACGTTTGGGGCTCCTATTGATGAATAAATCAAGCTGGTTTACAGGTTAGCACAGTGCATTTTCCATAATAAACTGCTTTCTTATGGAGGGTATACTCATTATGTCATCTGACATGTGACTGCACCCACTTACTGGCACTTAATTCCAAAAAAACAGCTGGTTCAATGGTGTCGGATTGTTTGATTTGAACACACAGATTCAGATTCAGTCTTTCTTTTAACAAAAGTTAAAAACATGTTTATGTTTCATAATTGTCATAGTACAAATGCGTGTCGCACAACATTATGACAAACCATTGATCTGTGGCGTCATGTGACAGATGAAATATATTCAAACATTCATTATAAAGAAAATAATATACTTAAGCTGATCCAAATTGGAAAAAAATCAAAAGGATTTTTGGTTACAATGTAAAAGTTACAAAGAAAGACAGCATTGGAGCGAAACTTTCACATAATCATACAGAACGTTTTTTGGTTTTCAGTACAAAATTTGAACTAAAACAAAAACAGTAGGAACCAGTCTGCATGCAGCCGGGGTGTCAATTTGATTCTTCAGCACAAAAATTTCACACACTAATTCTTCTTTGTTGAACCAGACATCTAAACCTTTACATGCTCCCAGGCTTTGCTGCATCCTTTTCACAGCATGCAAATGAGGTACAAATCAGGAACCGCAATTTCTAGTCAAATGTTAAATCTCTCGGCTCGCACATTGTTTTGGAAGGTTGCAAAGATCCCTGCGGAGTCCGACGGCATTTTAATTTCAGACGATATTTGTTTTTCGCTGGGATTCTTGCAACCCTGTGGGCACAGAATTAGCTGTGGACGTCTCAAATGATACTGGGAACCACAGCAATGGGTCGGGTTTAACAGGACGAGTGGTTATCCTGCTTTTAAAGCTGACACCTGTGGTTTATCGGGGCAATCTACACTCTGTTTGGTTCCCTTTTATTTAGAAACATTCATCTTCGATATGAAGATAGTCATTTAGTGCTCAAAACATGCATTAGATGGAGGTTGTAGGAGCACCTCTGTGGTTCATGGTTGGTCAGGTATGGTGTCTGCTTGATTCATGCATCAGAGAATTATGATCCGAGACACAGTGAAATTACACCTGTGTAATTGACATGTCAATAATGTCGGGACACAAAGACTATTAATTGCCGGTAAGTTGAGATGATCATTATCTGAGTTTTTGAGCGTGTGGCTTGACTTAATGCGTGCGTGGTGAAATGTGCTTCGGTCTTGCATCTCCCTGCCTATAATTTACAGCTGCGTCTGGCACCAGGTTTCCCTCCTACATGCAGGGCCAGTAAAACTTTATGATGTGGCGGCAGCGCGCACGCGCTCATATCCACAGCAACCCGTTTTTTTTTATTTTTTTATACGGAAGCACGAAAACTCCCCAGAGGCATGACTTCATAAGACTGGGCTGGAACCGCAAAGCCGGTTGGACATTGCGCTGACTGGTGGAGCACCTCGTGTCTGAGCGAATCATTCTGTCACCGGGGTGTGAAAAACGCTGATGTCTGCAAACATCTGGGTGAGAGAGGGGGGTTTGTGTTCCAGGGCCCGCACTTAGAAAGGGGATGGCCGGCGTCCCAGTTAGAGGAGCGGTGAGGAATTTAAAGCTTTCCGGGAGCTCAGGGTGGAGAAGGTGTTTTAAGGAAAAGCTGGAAAAGAAAAAAGCTTCAGGGGGCTTCACCGTCATGAGAAGGAGGAATGCTGGCTTGCCTTGAGTATTTGAGACTGTTTTCCTAAATTTGACGTTGCACCGACTTTACATACCAAATCCCACTGACCAGCTTTAGAGATCAACTTAAACTTTGGATGAAAACAAACCAGTCATGTGACCACTAAAATCTAAACTTTTAATTGTGATGCTTATATTGTTTATTATATGTTATTTTTTATGCCTTTGCCTGCCTAGGGACTACGGATGAAAATTAGCTTTGTAGCTACAATCCGGCATATTTACATTTGTTTTTCACTGATGTTCATTAATGTGCTTTGTCCCTATTCAAATAAATAAATTAAAAATCTAAAAATAAAAAAAAAACACAAGGGGACTAGAGTTGACTTGTAAAGGTCAATCCGAGCGAATCGGCCGATCTCGACTCGGCGATCGGCCGGCTTTCTTCCTTCTTTCGGCCTCTCACCGTCTTTCCCCCTTTCTCTGTATTTCTGCAGATGACGCTCTGAGGCTTCACAACGGGCCGGCGAAGAACAGCTACATGGAGCAGAGCTTCCACGGCCTCAACCCGGTGCTCAACATTCCCGTGAGCCTGGCCCGCGTGGAGCAGGCCAAGCGGAACGCGGCCCTGGCGGGCCCGGAGCTGGACGGCTGGCTGGACGGGCTGGTGGGCGAGCTGTGGGAGGCGGCCGACGTGTGCGCCGCCGGCCCCACCGCCTGCCCCGTCATGCAGGCCTGCGCCAAGAGCCCCTGGAGCTCCCTGAGCCCCGACCCCAAATCCCAGCTGGGCCCGCCCCGCGCTAACGGCCGCATCAGGTAGCAGCCAGGCCTCCAGCTGGACATGGAGGCCGCGGCCCCCCCGCTAGGTTTTTTTTTATTTATTCGGGAGGTTTCCTGCAGATTGGGGATAGGGTGAGTGGGTGAGTGTCCTTCCTCAGTCACTGGGGAAAGGAGGAAAGAGAAGAAAAGTGTTTTTTTTTCTGTGGGAGAAAGAGGCGGTTTGACCAGAAAGCAAGAAAGAGGAAAAAAGTTTCAAATCCCCACCCACAGGGTTCCTCCTTTTAGGGGCTTTCGCTAGCTTTGCTTTTTCATTTTTTCTCAGTGTATTTATTTTTTTCTCCTCACGGTTGATTTTTTACCGTGATCGAGCGTTGCGTTTTTTCTCTCATTTCGCCGCCCGAATGAAGTTTGACGACAGCTTTCAGAGTCCTGCAAAGGGGGCACCGCGGCCGCGGGAGTCTGGCCGCTCGCAGACTAGGTACTTCTACAACAAAGCCTTAGTTGTGTAGCCTTCTGGAGGAGGTAGCCGGGTACTGCTTTAAATGTGCCTCCTTAAAGGTTTATGTGAACATCTGTTCCCAGAATATCTGTGCATTCAGCACGGCCCCTCAAACACTTCCAGCATAACGTCTACAGCGCTGGTAGATGCAAAGTGGATTTGAAATTTGGCTCAGTGATGCGTACGAATCGCTGCACAACCAACTGTCTTCGGCCGTTCCTTTTATTAGCAAATTTCAAGGAGGACTGCAAATACAAAGGCCTTTTTAGAATAACTGGAAAATCTTTAGGGGGGAAAAAAAAGATCATTTCAGAAGTTCCTCGTAAACACTTTTGTGTTGATTGATTTGCGGTTATCGTGGGATAGTATTTTCAGATTTAACATTTACCTAATGTAGATTTCTTTTTTTTTCTTTCTTTTTTTTTTTTAAAAAGAGCCCCGAATATTATGACGGGCAGCGAACACAGAGAACTGATTTGCTTGTTTGTTTGTTTTTTTTCTAAATCAACCTGCCTCAAACTTGAAACAAAATTACCTTAAGCTGACCTTAAAAAATCTTGTCTTTTTTTTTTTTTATTCCAGTCATTTCAGCGACATTTAATATTGTACATAATTATACAAGAAGTCTCAAAATTTGTGTGTGTGAATGGGGGAAGGGGGAAGTCGGTGAGTCACTATTTATTTCTAGGTTTATATGAATACTGATATTTTTAGTCAGTGACTAAATAACTGAGACGCTGCCTTGGCAGCATGATGAATATCTTTTTTGTAAAGAAAGCCGCCTTTATTTACAAAGGCTAACACCCCAAACTTATGCTGTACCCTTTTTATGGCCCGCACCTGTGTGTTAGTCAGTGTTGTCCCGTCTGAATAGATCCTCTTGTCCTGGTTTCCTGTTTGCCGAGACTGTCACGAGAGAAAGCCACCCTGACCCGTGAGGTGAGAGGTCAGCAACCTTACAAACCTCACCAAAAATAAAAACCTCCACATGCAAACACACTGGACCGAGGTCTGGACTGAGAGAGAAACCGTTGCTTTTCTTGGTGTTTTCTGGTTCTAGTCCGTTTCCGAATGGCAGTGAGTGGTTCGTGATATTCATGCTGTGACAATAATGTACTATTTCGAGTGACTATGATATTGTATCTTGATTGCAAAATGAATAATTTATTAAATCAGTCCTACTGCACCTTGTCAGCCCGATTTACATTCGAAGTACCTTTTTCTGCCATCAAGACAATCTCTGGACATTTTGAGACATGTTAATCCCATTTGCAGTAGCACTGAACCGCGACACATCCTTAACAAGAGGTTCAGTTGCGTATTTGTTTTACCTTGAAATAAGTTTCATCTGAGGCCAATTAGCTTTTCAATCTGTGACTGTCAACATCGTTTAGTCAACACACGAGCTAAATTTTTTGTTTTTGCACAGGCTAATGAAGACACATTATTGTTCATTATTGTCAAGTTCACCTTGCCTCTCTGTCAGTGTATTATAACCGCTATCTCTCTCTTTCTCTGTCAACGCTAATCTGTTTTCTGGGCACAATCGTAGAAGACTTTTTTTGTTTTTTCGTCGTTTTACTTTCAGTGCCACTGTGCTTTTTAACAGTTACAGAATACATATTCAGTGTGAGCTCAATGACCGTTTTGAAAAGAAAAAAAGAAAAAAAAAAGGTGAATTAGTTAAATGTGACTAAATGTGAAAGTCCTATTTTGTAACAAAATTATTAACAAATGAAGAAGATGTACATAGGTATTTTGTATTGACATATTGTTGGAAAAGGTATCGTTCATGTAAATACAGATGTGGTAAAAATGACAAAATTATTTGAGGTGTGTTTTTGAAACGTCATCGCTAGGCTAAAAGAGTGAATTAATAGCGTTTATTGATCAAAGTACATAACCTGTTTCAGTGTTTTTGGACAACTGTGACAACAACTTTGTCCTATTTGCCTCTCAGAGAAAATCCGATTGTTGTTGTTCTTGCTGGAATGTATTGTTGAGCAACTGTTGCACAAATTTCTCTGACTGATGTTTCCCCTCTTAATTTTATTCCCGGGGAGGCTCTGTGTGCCTTAGCTGACTTTTAGAACCTTCTCTGTCCATAAAAAGAAGTGTGTGTTCTTTTTTTTTTGCTGATCTTATGTGAAGACTGCCATGAGTCTGTCGAAGTGATTCATTGGTAACGCAACACCAAAATGATGTCTGCTGTTGTATATATCATCAGGCCTTCTGTCATTATCAGGTCTTGTTTTTTTGTTTTTTCGGCCCTTTGCGGGATTTGTTTTTGTTGTACTTACTTGTTTTACTTTTCTCTGACTGCTTTTTGGAAATAAAAGCGATTGGAAAACAGCCGGTGTGAATCTGTAGAGCAAAGAAAATCCGGAAAATCTTTAAAAATGACACAGATCTCTGTTTGATGATGAGGTTTTATTAGATACTTTTTCAGCACATATCAGATAACAAGTAAGAAAAAGCTACAACAGCTTTTTTGGTTTTATATTCTCAGACAAATCACCAGTCACACCAATGGCAGTTCCACTGGTAGTGAGTGAGAGTTAATGGGCTGTTGGTCTCTTTGTTGGTCCTGCTATGACCAGAGTGTACCAAAACTCTCATCTTATGTCACCTACGATACTTTCCAGCTATCCTGAATCGGATTAAGTCGATAGAGAACAGAAAAAGACGGATGGCAAGCACTTCACAGTTTCTCTCAGCCCCAAACTCCCTGTTTCAGTCACTTTACTCACAATGTTAGTCAGACAGTGTATTTCCCCAAGACGGCAATGTTTTTATTATAAAGATCAAGCTTTTTTTTAAATGATGACCCGTTTAATGCTTCTAACCGCCTTTTGAAATAACAATAAGCCTATGTTTGTCAAACTGTTGCACAGCTGTTACATAAGTTGTAACTATTACATTACATCATGCCAAACAATTCCATCACTTAGATGGTTTAGACTTTGGTGTTTTGCATTTCGTTGTGTTTTTTTTCTTACTTGATCCGTCATGGTTGGTTAGACTTAGAATTAGGCATTTAAGAAAATCCACGATTAGGCTTAGATGTAAATAAATAGAGATTTGCATCATGCTGCCATAGATGTTGCAACATTTCTGCATCCTAACTGTGACATACTTTGATGCCAGTGTGCTAAATAAAATGCATTTAAAGGTAAAGATAAAAAAATAACTGATAAATCTACTCGAACAGCAGAGACAAAGCGGGTCTGCTGAACGTGATGCAGGACTTGGCAGCCGGGAAGCAAAAAATCTCTCTCAGTAGTTAATGGAGTGCAAACTAAAGCCTGAAGGTGAAGTCAAAAGTGAATAATGGACTTTCATTTAAAGGTGTCAGACACAATTCTCCCAGTTTAAATTAAAATCATTCTACGCAGATTAGCTAAATATATTAGAAAAAAAAGCAGATTTAACAACAGGTTGTGAGCTTGTTCAGTGTTCTTCTGCTTCTGCTCAGTGAAGATTTACCCCAAAAATAGACTTTGAAATGCAGTGATGCTCAAAAAAGACTTTTTATCAAGAGAACCTTTTTTTCAGGGATCTTCTGCTTAGCTCGGCATGATGTCTCTTTTTATAGCACAGGCTCTACAGTACATTGAATTGAAGAGATGTACCCACTGAAAATCTTTTACTCCTGACTGACATCCAGATTTAACCTTTAAATGTTCCGCTTGCTACCACAGATTGGCTGGTTTCAGTATTTTTCCAAACTCTCTATGTCTCAGTGGATGTCTGATTCTTGGTGTCACTGTCCCACCATGAAAATAAATCATTTACAACATGCTATTAAATCTGCATCCAGACATTAAAGTTAAGTTAAACAAAAAGATTTTTAAAAGCATCTGGAAAAAAAGCAGCTGAAAGTTTTCAAAAGACAAATACAGATGTTAACCTACTGTTTTTAATTAACGTGAAATAAATTTCTAAAAATAATCATCACTTATGAAGCTATTAGACCTTAATTGAGCTGTACAAACGTCTTTGTTTAAACCTGTTAGCTGAAGGCATTTTCCGATTTGAATGAATGCTCTGACTTTTCACATGGTGACAAAACCCAACAGTCAGGCTGCTCTCCCACCAAACAGTGGGTTTGAAAATGAAGCCTTTTAATTAGGAGAAGAACATTTCAAGATGGGAATGACCCTGCAGCTTTCAGTTTAAACTGTACAAACCGCTATCATGAAGTGGAAGTTAAGGGGAGTGATATTCAGAGAAGAAAAAGAACAATAAGAGTGGCTTCTTCACAAAAGTGTAGCCAACATTTTTTTTCCCTTCTGTTTTAATATCAGCAGACTCCTTTTTTGTAATGATTTGGTTTGGTTTTTAAAAAGTATTTTAGATAGTTTGAATTTTCTGATGGTGTGCCGACATTAAATAAATAATAATAGCTAATAAGCTAGCAGAACATGAAAGAGAAGGAGCACAGGATGCTCTGACTGTGACATTCTGCTGGTAAATGCTGCAGTTTTCTGCCAACCTCACCCGATCCTCAAACCTTTCTCTTTGCTGCAGATCATATTTTT